AAACCTCCCTTTGATGGGCACCTCTTTCCCTTTGAGACATGCTTTATGCAAGTTTTGCTCTAGCCATGAGCTCTGTGGAGATTATCGGGCTGTCACTCCAGGCAATTAACAGGTTCATTCTGCCTCCACTTCTACAAGTGCACTATGAGTATGAGGACTCAAGACACAGAAGAAATGAAATAATTCATATAATTCTGTGCTAGATGACCTCCTTTTCATTAAAGAGGTTTACATACAGGCAAGAATTTTAACTGTTTAGGTGCTTAGCTATCATCATGGTGACAGACAAGGCTGTTGGATGTTTCAAAATAAATATCACAGCACAGAGCACTCTGAGCAACTCTTTTAAAAGAGCAATAAAATTGGGTAGTTAGGTTCAACTGAAAGGCATCAAAGAGCTTAGTCTAGTCAATTCATTTCTAGCTACAGTGAGAGCACCTGTGAAAGAGCAGCCAGGGCACCAGCATTTCCAGTAGCTCTCATCAACTGCTCCCTACCTCTGTACTTTATGTCAAGCTACCTTTGCACAGCAGTGCTAAGTGGCTAGTGATATACAGGGAGCCAAACAGGCACTCCATTAAACACAGCCAGATCTGCCTGTGGGTCTGGTCCCTTTTGGACTCCTCAGACACTTAGTAGCACCACTTCACCTATAGCTCCTGGATCACTTCAAAGAGATCAATGCAGGTTAACACAGGAAAACGGGTTTGCCTGAGTTTGGAAATTGTTGTAATCTGCTTACACAGGGCTCTCCACTGGAGTGGAGATAAACCCAAAGAGCATATGGCCTCAGTGAGGGTCTCTGAACCATTCTGACAGGTAGCCAGGGAGATAGCTGCCTCCACCCCCTTCTGAGAAGGACAACGCAAACAAACCTAAATTGCTGCTATTGAATACTTACTCATTGAAGACCAAATCTGGAGCGAAGTAAAGCATTCTGGAGTTCACATTGGTGAAAGATCTCCATCCCATGGCGAAAACCATTAGACCCATCCAGGAATACTGGATTACTGACATTTGGTCATCCATGTGCAGGTTACAGAACCCTATAAAAACCCATAAAAAGAGGTAAAATTTAAATTGGATTCACCAGGGTTAATTTCTCAGCCTGCACTCCCACGAATTTCTAGAAAGTGATGCCAAGGTGGTCCGCAGACTAATATCGATGTTTCCCAAGGTACCTGGTTGTTCATCTAAGAGCTCAAGCACATGGGATGCTTGCATATGTGGACCTATCCATGTGGTCACCTGGCAACCTAAAGCCTTGGCCCTGACATGCTGAGGTTAAATGTGAAGCTTCCAAGTCAGTGCTTGCAGCTGCTGGATTTGACTCTCAGCATAGGAAAAAAATAAAGAAGAGGTGAAAACCCAACCAGGTTGGAGGAATTAAAAAGGTTAATAATACATTGCATTATAATAGCTCTCCCCAGAATTTCCCAAAGAACTTTACAAGCAGTATTTATGTCCCAGCAAGATTGAGATGAGTAAAGTTTATCCCATAAGTACGCAGACAGGGAAGGTGAGACAGAGGAGTCAAGTGATTTTCCCAAGGCAACACAGCAACTCAGTGGCAGAAAAGGTGCCCAGAGCTTCTGGCTGCCACTGCTGAGTACCTCAGACTAACTATAGTCTAACACCCACATTTTTAGTTATTATTCTGACACATTATACTTGCTTTTTAATGCTGCAGAAATGCCTACATGCCTCAGACTGATGCACCACTGTGCTAAGTGCTATACTTACACATTGTAAACTTAGATAGCCTCTGCCCCCTAAAGTACACAATCTTAGTTTAACCCAATATGTACCAGGTGGCCAAAATAAACACATGAGAAGGGGACAGGGCAATACTAACATCAAAAATGATTTCTCTCAAGCTACCATTTCACATACTTATCAGATAGAGATCTGCCTGTTGGTTTGTTCTGCTAACTACTTGGAGCAGCAGTAGTTGTCATGTGCTTAGCCATTATCAGAGCAGGATTCCCAAGGCATTAGGACAGTCTTAACCTATCAATTTCTCTTAATTTTGGGCCCACTGAAGTCAATGACACCACCTCCACTGACACCGATAATCAAGTTTTCACCCATCGGCACCCATACATGCAAATGTCACACACTAAGTTCACAATCACCTACTCCTATTTTCTCTGGAGATTTACCAGTAGTTATAGCAAAAAGGCCACCTGCAGTTCTGACTTCGCCTTACTATGAACTTTTCTCTTATTTTAATAAAACGTTAAAAACAATGCTAATGCCACCAGTTAGTAATTATAATTCATCATCAATTCAAGCTCCCATTTCTTGTCTGAGAATCTGTTAATTTCACGCGAGTGCAAATCATGTTAGCACTAAACTGTAATTGTGTTAAGATTGCTTTCTTTCAGCTTTCAATTAACAGCATTATAACACAATTCCTGTTAAAGTAGTGTTATTCTGAACGAGTACAGGTAATTTTCCATTCTCAGGAGTCAGGTCACATTAACTAATTATTGACTCAATAACAACCTTAATGGGGCATGGACACAAAGAAAGAGACAATCTTTCCTCTGGGAAAGGTGTAATTTATATTTAAAACCAGATCTTGAATTTGATTCTGTAACTCAGTGGGGAGCCAGTGCAGGCAATAGAGCGCATGTTCTTGCTTAGAGCGCAGAGCTGCTAAGCAAGCACATGTTCTATATCAGATGAAGCTTTCACAGGCTGCTTAGCTCCATTCCTTGATATAATGAGTTGCAGTACTTGGGCCTGGAGGATATGAATGTATCAATCATGGAGACCGAATCTGTAACTGACTGAAAACCCTGCCCCATCCTATCTAGTCACAAGTGGAAAAGAGCATTTTTGCTGCTATATTGGCCTGATAGATCCAGTTTCCCCTCACACCTCTGGATCACAGACAAAACTGTTTGGCCCCTTAGTACAGAGGCTGAGTGGAGATCTGGGCTTCACTGGACATTTTGTTCCATTTGGCTATTTTGAACATGTGCTGCCTTAGAAGGGACAGGGATTTTGGTTTAGCAAGAAGGCTCAGCTCCATGCCAGTGGAGAAGAAACAGAAGCACAGCTGCACCTCCACAAAGGCTAATGCTTTGGGTGTCCACACTTACTGAGGAGCACAGAAGAACCAGGATATTGTGAACTAACTGCATTCAGTGGGCAGCTGGCTTCCTTTGAAGGGGATCTGATAGAAGACAAAGTTCTTCAAAGGACTTCCCTCTTCCTTAATTCTGCGTCAGAGAATGGGACATGTCTGTATCAAATTGTGAACAACACTTTGTACTGTAACTTCCATTTTGCATTAGGACCTCCATTTTGCAGTTTTGTGGTGATCACAAGCTTAAGAGTGAATCTTTTAGCCTTTTTGGGAAGATCGCTGGAAGAGGAAGATGGGAAAGATGAGTTACTAGAATTATGCAGAGAAAGGCAACTAAACTCCAAAGAATGTAAAAGCCACACATACCTGCTATTTTCAGCTAGCCAGGAAGGAAATGGTATTTCAGAACCAAGTGAAGACTTAAGGGAAGACTTAGTTTACTGGCGGAGGCAGCAGAAGTCAGTGGAGAAAGAGACACGAAGACAGGAGGAGGACCAAGAGGATTCCGAAAAGGGCATGGGAGTGGATGCTTAGAGTGCATCCAGCCAATAGAGAAACCACCAGACCCTGTCCAGACCAAGATCCCTGAGTCAGCAGAGTATGAAACAGAAAGTTACAGCTGGAGAGAGAGAAGCTGGATCCAATGCAGCAGGTACTTGCAGAGTTGGAGCATCAATGCCACCAGCAGATGGAGAAACAGTGCCAGCATGAACTGGAACTGAAGAGACTGAGTAACCAGATACCCGGTAACTTAGTAAGCGATGGGAGAATTTGGAATGCTGAGTCTATAAGGAGCACAGAGACTAAACTGTTCCCCCAGCGTAAGGAGATGCTGCTGGTGGCATATTGATTCCTATCTCAGAATCTTTGAAAGGGCTTGTGAGTCAGAAATGAACAGTCGCTGAAGACTGGCTCTAAAATCAGCATTTACCACCCCAATGGTTTCCAGCTACTTTTTAGCAGCTGGTTAGTCAGTTCTGAATTAAATTGTGGACAGGTGTAAAATGAGGTCTGTCCCTTCTGTTAGCCATAAAAATAGCACTTTCAGACAGTACTTTGTAAGTAACAATGGAGGAAGGTAAAGTGGAGGCAGAAAGCAGATGCATCAAGCAAAGTTTGAAGTTCTTAAGAACTGGCTTGTTCCCAAGCCCAGGGAACAGGCTCAGTCTTTCAGGGATGGCAGGTTATTACAGATCTCCGCTCCCATCATTGATTAGTCAAAAACAAACAAACAAACAAACAAACAACCCTCCCCCCAAGAACCCCCCCCCCAAAAAAAGGTGGTTGGGGAAGGGACCTGAAAAATTGGAATAAACCAAACAGTGTCTACAGACATTCTTTAACTTGAAACCCCTGAACAGAGATTCAGGGCTGGTAAGGCCAGACATTAGCAAACCATTAATTGTTCTACAGGCACAGCAGTAGGTACTGCACTGGTTCCAGTCAGTACCACAGAGCAGAGGCATCCTGTGCTGCATACGAGCAAAAATTCATTCTCCTGAGAAAGAATCTATGTGACCATTGGAAAGAAGAGTCTTGCCATGGTGTAAGCCCTTCAATTACAGCCAGGTCTATTCCAAGTGGTGTTTCACAGTGTGAAGTGACCATCTGCCTCACACCTGGCTCCATCAAATTGAAAGGTCCGATGAAAAATTGCTTTAAAAAAATCCAGCATTCCAGTATTATTATATGAAGGTGCTTTCTGTTAAAGGAAATACAAAAGTTGGGAGATTCTCTCTTCTGGAAGGGGTATTAGAACCTCCTTGGTGGTACATGGGCTCAACAGTTTTAGGGCCTGGCATTAACCGCAAGTTAAGACATAACGGAGAGGTAAAGGCAAGTGAAAGATGAAGAAAATATATACACGATTTTTTAAAGTTCTGCATTAGGAAATAATTCTATACCTCAGACCTGGGCTTTGGGGCTGATCCTTTTAATCCTACTGAAGAGAGGGAACCTAAGTATCATAAACGAATTAGAGACCACAAACATACCTGCACTGTCACAGAAGAGGAAGAGGGCTTTTAAAGATGCTCTGGCCAAGCTTCTGTTGGTGTTGCTCCTGGTGGTGATGGCCTTTGTGGTCCCCTCAGGTGTGGAGGGGAGGAGAAAGAGCCAGTGAGGGTGAAACTCTGGCCAGAAAGCCACGTATAAGATGCTGTTTTAGTTGTACTCTTGTTTTATTTTGGCATCATGTTGATCTTCTGAGAGGCTTAAGAGAGAGCTCCAAGGAGCTTGCCTGATGAGTCTTTATTTGATACCTGCCAGGGAAGACTGCAGCATCCAGCTGACTAAGAGTCTCAGTGTCTCACTCAAGCATTTTCAGCTGGGAAAGCAGTTTGTTGAAGGCATTCAGTTTTTCTGTTCAGTTCTGATGACTGGCTCAGTTACATATTTGCTTTTTGACAAGGTGTTGTGTCTCAAACAGGGTAGAACTCTCATTTCATTTGAAGAAGTGATGATCCATGAAGAACATGAGCTGACTTTTAATACTCCAAAGTGAAATCATGTTTTCTGGGTTCATATTTCTAACTGCATACAGTTTTGAGTTCTGTTCCCAGAAACCAAGATCCATAAATCTTCATTGACAAAAGAGTTTTGGATTTCCTGGCTTCACTTTTGGCATTTCATGGTTCTAAGTAGCTGATGGAAACCATTCTTCTCCGACATCTCCAGTGCTCAACAATCTTCACAAGGCCTTCTTCCCAGATCTCATCAGTTTGGAGTCTAGAACCTAGGCTCATTTTGCATGACCCTGTGTGTTCTCTCAGGTTGACATTTCTCTATCAGTAACTGTAGCCCCTTCACAAAAATGTCCAAGCTGAAGTTTTCTAGTCCTCACACAAAGTCTTTCCATATTTTTGTGTGATTTTATAAACTGACCCAGTGTATTTCACAGCAATACAAAGATCTAATACAAAGCCCAATTAATGCAACAGGAAGACCATG